TCGAACTCCACTTGCTGAACGCAGATCTGAAGGTCCAGTTGCATGAGCGTTTGAGGGTGTCCCTCGACACTTGGCCGGAGATTTGCGCAAATGTGAAGTGGCCAAACATCCAGAAGAAACTCCAGGAACGCCAAGAAAAGAGGGGGTGGTGCAACCGCAAGATCCTGTACATCAGTGAGACTGGGTTGCTGGAGCTTGGTGACCTGGGATGCTTCAAGCATTTGCTGAAGATGCACCTTCCATTGTACGTGGTTCCAGATCCAACACAAGGCACGTCTTCACAGGCAACGGATTGGAAGGACTTGGTTCTTGAACTGGACCAGCCAAGCGGCTTGAAGCGGAATTTGCAGTTAGACGTTCCGCTGGGCGAAGGAGGTTTTGGATGGTTTTGGGCAAGTGCGGCGAGCCAGGGACAAAGAAACACATGCTGAATATGCCTGCCCTGAAGATCTCATTCCCAGATGAGAAATTCAACTGAACCATCCCAACATTGTCAGAGTCTTGCAGCATGGATACATTTTGGATCCAACCAATGGCCGCCTCCCAGTCTACATGATGGACTTGGGCAGGTGTTCAACGCAGGCTTTGCTGGACAGTGGGTGGCATAACCAGGCATGCAGTAGCTGCACGAAGAGATATGAGTTCTGTGCCGAGGCATTTCATGCTGCAGGCACACGGATGTGAAACCAGCAAACATTCTTGTCAGCAACAGGGTCAAATTGATTGACGATGGTGGAGCTGGAAAGCAAGACATTGACAGAGCAACCTCACTCTTGGAGTACGCACATCGACTTCAAGCACGGAGAAGGTATTTTGTTGGTCCAAGGGAAGTGTATGCCTTCTATGACTGGTATCCAAAAGACACACTCTTCTTGGCTGGAATCTCAGATTGTCAAAGAGCAGGCCCCATGGAAAGCCAGATCCTGCAGAGGCGTCAGAAACCTTGGCACCCAATAAGAAATTAAGCCTGGAAGCAGTCCAACAACATGGCTCTGCGCTGCCATTTGCCTGTGCGGAACTCCGAAGTGACAAGCAGGTCGTCATGGATTCAGTCCGGCAGGATGGCTATGGATTTGGTGAAGAGCTCAGAAGTGACTCGCAGGTTGTCATGGAAGGTAAACAGCACCGTGCCTTTGTGCGGAAGTCAGGCCAGTTTTGGAAAACTGCCCGATTTTTCGTGCAGTAGGATCTAGCGCCTCGGCCACAGCTAGCGGCCCACTGAATCTTTTGAAGTGTGTGGTGTCCTTAGTGGATAGACGTGCAGCGCCCAAAAAGAATCGGTGTCGGGCAGAAGTTAGGGTCGGCTTACTTTATAGACTACAACATGCGTAGACCCTCCTGAATCGAAGTGGTTTCAAACATCTAGGAGCGCGCGCAATTTGGCCAGGAATTCATAAATTAATGAGGCTCTTTGACTGGGTAAAGGTCCCCAATGATCCCCATAACATCCCATAACACTACGTGATGATATTTAATGCTTGTTGAGCCATGTCATGAAAATATGTAGATCATTTGTAGGTCAAGTTGAAGGGCCATTGTTGGCCAGGCAACTTCTGGTGAGTCGCGGCTGCGAGACTTGCTTAGGCGTGATGTGGTTTGTTGTTTGGGCGTTCATTTTTCCCAGACGTGTTGAAAGTCCTAATGTGAACAGAAAGATGCTTCGAGTGTCAGTCTCCTCAAGCCGCCCATTGCGACAGGTCCAAGCTGGAGTTGCAAACATGTTGCTTCCCCGGAAATGTGCTTTAGATATCTTTAGATTAGATTTGGAAGCTTATGTCATTGGTTCGTTTTGTAAGTTCAAACTCGCCCTCAGATTGAGGTCAAGAAGAGGTGAAGAAGCTTGAAATGGAAGGTTCGATGTTTTTTGCCAAGTTCACAGCACAACTGCAGACACGAGATGAAGAAATCAACCTTCTCGGGTTGCCTGCTTTAGGGTGTGGACATGTGTTTCAAACGATTCGTGTGGACGATTAAGTTTCAGATCTCAGGCGAGGCCGCCATTTTCCTGCTAGTTTGATGGCCATTGTTGGTATTTCAGAGTGGATATGAGTGGATGTTCTGACGGCTTGTGTGATGAAACCAACCAAACTGTGCTTAAACCATGTTTATGTCGTCAAAGAATGTCAAAGAACCAAGAGTCACCCCTGGTCAAACCTGCAGATTTTCCAGTTTTCAATCAGAAATTATGGCCAGCCATGCCAGTTGTAAGCCTTCAGGATGAACAGACATTTCCACGGTATAAACGTGTCCCTTTCAATTCAGATTCACTGCCACAAGATGCGTTTTTGTTGGCTGCCTTTTGAAGAGTTTCCGCACATGCTTACATTGAAGTTCTCAAATCCATTCAAGTCCTACCAGAGGTAAATCAAGGTGAAGGATAGCAAGGTCAAACCTGGTCAAGCTACATTCCTGAAAGAACTGTGGAGGGACACCTCGCTCATGTGCCGATAGACATGGCCGGCCTGGGCAAATTTCTCACTTCAGGAGCATCTTGGATGAACAGACCATAGTTCAGCCAGCAAAGATTGCTGATTCGTGTGTGTTCTTGGCATAGACAAAGGGGATTTATATGATTTATGACAATGCGTTTGGTATTGGTATGGGCAGTGTGATCAATTCTTGGGCCAGGTGCAGATCAACTGTTTTTCTCATCGTGGTTTCTCATGTTTTCCCAGTATGTTTGCTCACTGTGGGCCCGTGACCAACGCATTGGTCAGATTGGTCAGACCAGGTGTGAGGTCTTCCCACTGAACAGTGTCACCATGTGTCACCAAAAGTCTGGGTGGACCAAGTGTGATGCCAAACAGTGGCCGACCATTGACCGGCCACAGCGACCCAACTTAGGCAGCGTTGCAGGCGAACGCGGGACCATGTCCATCCATGCTGCGGCTAGCTCCTAGCTGAAGACACTAAGACTAAAGTAACTAAAGACATCTAAAGACCAAGCCGCAAAATTGGAGGACTCTTTATGGCATGGATTGTGGATGATTGTGGTTCATTGTGGTTCATTGATGTTCATTTTGTTGTGTTGTGTGGTTCGAAATCCAGGTCCTCCGCCGTTTCTGGCGCAATCCTGCTTCAGTGCTGCTGGTGTTGCGGCTGCTCGAGGAGCCGGTTGCTTCAATATTGAACATATGTTGAACGGCCCGACATGGCCCGAGCTCCAAGTTGATTCTGCCGGAAGTGGCAGTCCTATAGAGACCCAGACTTTGATGTGGAAGATCACCTGCAAGGGTTGTACTGTGTGATTTTGTGCATCTCTAATGACATCTAATGTTTGATGCCCTTGGCTGTTCCTGACATTTCCTGACCAATCTTCTTGCGCAGTACTTGGTGTCTTTGTGGGCCAGGCCTGGTGCGAGAGTTGATGCAAGCACAATAACTGACAGTAACGTTAAACATGTTTTTTGTTCCTATCATGTACATGTAATTTATAACTACTATTAACTATATACTATATACTTATACTATCTTATACTTATACAATCTTATACATTATAACTTTGTTTCTAGATTTTCTAAGCACCTCACAACCCAATACAATTTGTGAGAAGTATGGACTTGGTCCAAGATGGAATATTTTGACACATGTCAATTTGAGTGATTTCGACCCTTCTAACTAGTTTTTAAAACATGTAACACATCAAAAAGATCAGAACATCTTTGAAAGTCATTTGCAAAATCATGGGACATGATAGAAAATCATAGAAAATCGGTGTTTGAGTTTCCCGTGTTTTGCATGCTCTCTACCGCTGTTTGATCAGGTGGCGACGGCACGTGCACTCCAAAAGGCAGGTCTTGAACCCAGAGGATGAGCTGGAGCTCGTGCCTTGAAGCATAGCAACCCGAGGGTATGGGATGAAGTGGATGAAGGACCCTCAGTTTTTTTGCAGATGATTTCCAGTGTTTTTTCCATTGAACGAATTTAATGTTCATCAAATTTCCATAGATGCCTTTGCCAAAAAGTTGAGATACAGATCTTGCCATTTTTCTGGCGGGAACATGATACTTTAAGAAAAGGATGAGAAACAAAGTAGGGATTTGGGGTAACAAGACAAAGGGATTGTGGGGTAATCCACACAACCTGTTGCACTGGTTGTGCTTGTACAGTAACGTCCAAGCCCGGCTTGAAACAGGTTAATGTTATTTGATGTTGATCGAGGTTGGATAAAGAAATAATCCCTAAACAGCCAGCCCTAACCCATTGCATCCCATTGCTTACACCATCCTTGGGCTGGATGACTTGCGATATTTGTGCCTAAGAAGGTTTGCCAAGACATGCTAAAACCAGGGATCACATATGACCACTTGATGCTGCGGATCAGGCTTTTGATGAATTGACTGAGCATTTGACTACCGATATGAATCACCTGGAATTAGAACCACCATAATTCGCATCATTGGGGATTCAGTACATCCTCACTCTCATTTTCCGATGGCAACATGTTTTTTTTCCCAGAGATTCCGTAAGTCCCAGAATTGGATCAAAGGGCCTTCGTTTCTGGATGACTGGGTGAAAAACATCGGGGAAACACATGGAAAAAAAACTCATTTTTTCCCCTCAATTTTCCTTGAAATCTGTTCTTTAGGACTTGGTCCAAGGCCGGTGGGCAAAAGGATCAGCGGATGTGAGTTGCTTTTCGTTGCCCGACTCGACCTTCCAGATTTGAAGAGCTACAATGGATGATATGATTCGATGTATATAGAGTTTATAGAGAGGACATTTTGGCAGCTGACAATGAAGAATATCTTTGAGCTCTTTCTTGTGCAGGGTGCCTACTCACTGCTGAGAATCTTCTCAACCTTGGTCGTGTTGAGAAGAGAACGCTCTTTCAGGTGCAGCTGTCAATGAGAGTAATTATAGCCACATCTATATTTCGAACATACACACATTGTGCTTACCTACTGGGTCAGATTCTGATTCAATGAGTCTTGGTTTCAATATGGTTTAATCAAATAATGTGGAACGTCCCGGAATTGTATCCTTCTGTGAGCGACGTTGTGCAGAAGTTGTTGGTAAAGGACGCTTCAGAAGATATGGTGTTGTCACAACAAACTTTGCTTCCGGCGGGCTTTGAGAGGTTTCAGCAAAGAAGCTCTTGGCCAAGAATGAGCATTTGCTGGGCATTCTGACAAATGCAGCGCAACATTGCCATGAGCAGAGCGCTTTGGTTGCAAGATGCCAGCAGGCTAGCAATGAAGCGATGCAAATAGTCAGCAAGGACGGTGTGAATTGTGTGTCTAAGGCGATTGGCTCCGCATGCTTTTGAATTCCTCTACACAGACTCCACATACACATACAGTACTCACTCAATCTAGATTATTATAATATGTATTAATACTATTATATACTTACTAGTATAATGCTACTGTATACTTAGTATTATTGGCAGTTTTTCACAAGTACTATAAATGCAGCATGATATAATCCATAATGCATGCCTCTTGATGGAACAGATTAGGGTAGTTGTTTCTTTTATGTTTGTGCCAGCATCCAGGTAAGGAGACATGTAACATCTTGTAGAAATAAGCGCAGAAAAAGAACCTATTTTGCAGGATCTTGGAGGGATTGCCACTCCCAAGTAGCATTGCCACTTACCCTCTGGTAAACTAACATAGCTATGGAAAATCGCAATCTTTAATATGTAAATCAATTTACACATGGACCATTTTCAATGGTAGTCAGTCACTAAGTTCCTCCCCAATCTTCCCTCCCTGCCTGACAGTATCCTGACTCCATTTGAGGTCACAATTGCCTGGTCACGCGCTGGTTGCCCCCCAATGAGCGATATCATATCCTGCAGGCCTCAGTCAATGCCATGAGCCTCGCGGCACAGACTGAGACTCAACTGGGGGAAGGTCATGGTGGATATGAGTCATGGGACCGTTGTACCGTTGAATTTATAGAACAAATGGCAAGTTGAATTGAGGGCCATGTTCAACCATTGGATTGTTGGGGCACATTATTTTGAGAAAAAACCAATGGCGGCCATAGACTGCCTCACAGACTAGCTGCGACTCATTGAGCAAACCCGAGGTTCCATGTTTGGTCCCCAGTATGTGCACCAGAATGCCTTGGGCCAATCTGGTGCAGACCTTTTCAAGTCCACTTGGCACCTTGACAAAAAATGAAGCAGCTGCCGTTTGGCCGGCGATTTCTTGAAAGTGTCCTGATTGAATTTGCTTTGATGTTGATATTGCAGATAATCTTCAAACAGGCATTTCTGATGCAAAGTATTGAAATGAAACTGGATTTCTGCAGCCATAAACTCGTTCGGAGCACAGCCCTTGGCAGAATGTTGTGTTGGGCCACAGCCAGGGAATAAGTAATATATAAAGAGACACAAGACGCTGAAGTTGCTGATCAAGACAATGATATTGGACTTCCAGGTGCTTTGTAAACTTGGGCTTGCAATTTGATAATCCCAAAATTCAAATGGATTGCAATTTGATTTTTCCAGGTTGTGAACTCGATTGCGCTCCCACAGACCTTCAGAAGTTCAGCCTCCCCAAATGTGAGACAGGTACTGTGTTACCATCATGACACCAACCCGTGCAGAGAATCACCTTCCATCCGAGCAGCAGGCGTTGGCATGGTGAAATGAAACTAAGATTCTCATTCCTCTTCAACCTTGTCATATGTTTCAACCTTCAGGCAAAAGATAAATCAAGGGTAAGAATCTACAGGAAAAGTGCTCTATCGCAGTGTTGGTCAAATTCCAATATCATTTTCGAAGAAGGGCCATGATGCTTCGCACCATGTTTTTTTGGCACTGATAAGATGTGCATTGTGTTCATGCGATATCATTATCGCGAATGACTTTGAATCACCGTAATTTTTGACATCTCAAATCAGCTTCACTCACCTTTTACCAGTTGAAATCATCTTGAATCAACTTCAATCATTTTTGCTTCTTAAATCATGTTCTATTGATTCTATTGACATTTTGGATGTGAAATGGTGATACCATGTGATACCACCACGGTGCCCGTACCAGGTTTCCCAGACTTCTCAGAGCTTGGAGACCTGCACGTTCACGGACATGACGCGAACGCCACGGCCCACCCTCCGACCCCTTTTGGAAGGGTGGGCAACTTCGCTGGGGAGTTCGGTATATAAAATCGTAAACTTATCAAAACACATCGAACATATTGAATATCAAAAATGGGGATATATATACTTAGCTGGATACTATAGCCTAGTGATCTGCATTGGTTGTTGGGTTCTTTTCCATCGATGCCAGTGGATGAAGGCTAATATTCAGGGGCCAATACTCATGTGATAGTCCGGATGGTGGCATGGCTTGGGAGATTATGATGAATCGAGGTTCCGGCGTTCTGGTGATTCCTTCCTGGGGCAGATTCGTAGCAAGTGGAGCGCCCAGCCGAGGAATCGTTATTGTGCATGAGTCGGAAATCAGGGCAATCGCTGACGGTCTGAGACTAAGCCTGGGTGTCCACATGTGTCAACTGTCCTGCATTGTATTTGGACAGAGAAGA